ATATCTCGTTGGTTGAGGAGATTCAATCTAGAACGTTGATAAATCCATTTGATCTTCTGTCTTCACCATGCTCCCTTTTAGTTTTGACTAGGTGTAGCCTGAGTCTCTTTTTGTTCTTTTGTTTGAGGTCATGCTTTTACTTGCATGAATAAGAGAGTATGGGCTGAGTTTGGCTTTTAAATAATTCGCACAAAATCTCCTGCCCACTTGTAATTGAATCTCGTGACACCTTCTTGAGCAAGTTGCAAATGTAAAATATTTTTACCTTGCTTTTTACTGTGAGTTTTATGTTTTGGTAATTTTGGAGACGTTGACTTAGTCGTAAGAGTGAACGTTTAGGTTTAAAGTCAACTGCCTGAAAATCAGTGGGCTGCTGATTTTCCGAGAACAATCTTAAATCAGTTGACTCTTTTTGTACCTCTTTTCTTTGTTTTGGTACATTCTTCTTTTGTGAGTACTCTTCTTTTTGCTTTTCGTTTTTATGAGTACTTCTTCTTTTTTGAAGTGAATAGCCAAGTAAATTACAAAGTACATGATCAAGTTAATGTCTATTTTAATTGCATCATTAAAATCCAAAGGGACCTAACAATATCCTAGCCATGTTTATTTGATGACTACGACTATGCATCATGGAAGGCTACACACATATGAAGACCGGTCTCGATCATCCCCTCATCATATGGCGAACGTTGCATCTCCACGCCTAGGCTGAAGGGCTCACCCTTTTGATTCATTTTGGGGGCATCCAGTGTACTCTTTTCCCCTCATTAGGATTTTTTCCCACATAGTTTTTCCTAGTGAGGTTTTTAACAAGGCATCTCCCCACCGTGGACAAAAGGTGTCGACCCACGGCCCATGTTAGAGTCATCACGAGACACAGATTACTCTACTCCTCTTAACCTCACTACACTTGCCTCACAGATTGAGGGATTTAGCGCTTTCGTTAATCGAAGAAGCGGAAATTCAAAATTTTCACAAAAGATTGCCACATGCACCGACGATATCATCACATCATATGCAGATTCAGCTGCCACAACAGCAAGTACATTTACATAGCCCTTCGGCCCCAGGACCGGTGGTGATGGTCTTTGACCTGCGACCTTCGACTGAGGATTCTCGAATCGGGTTGCCCCAGTAAAGGCTCGCCTCAACAACGACAACAGTGTACTCCACCGGACGACGACATATCAGCACATAGCTCCACTTTCTTTAGCCTCGAGTACTCTCGACTCAGGGAGTGGGGGACTCCTAATAAAATATATGGACTCAGACCCTCGGTTTCATGACTATTGGGCCCGACCAGCAGCCCACATACGCTCAGTAGATAACATTTACATTGTTGTACACTGTTTATTTATATAAATCCATTAGAATAGATTAAAATACCATTTATTGGCTTTTTATTGTAACTAGGTCTACTAGGCCCAAGCCTTGAAGTCTAGCCCACTTTTCTCCTATAAATAATTCTTTTGGGAGTCATGTAAAGGGTTGAAAATTCATTAATATAAATCACTTCTCTCTCTAGCTCTCTCTTCTCTCTATTTAAATAGTCTATCAAATGTTGTCCACCAAGATTAAAACCTAAAATCCTATTTATTTACCTTAAGGTGAAAGGCACAACTCTCGAAAGTAGAATACGTGTTTTGAAATCATCAAAAGGGGGAAAATTGTAAGGAATAAATTGTATTTATTTTTTATGATGTTGTACAAATTAGAAAATTAGAATACCCAGTAGATAATTTGTACTTAGAATTTTCTGTTGTAAGTAATAGATAATCGATTGGCAGAACAACGGACCTATGTCAAACATTGGACACAATCGCTAAGGCAAGAGTGTTTGGAACACTCTTGAACTTGAGCATAACCGATCTCAACAAAAGCGCACCGGAAGAGCCCTCACATAAACTCTCAAGACGTTCAAAATTCTGTTATACTAATGGGATATACCTAACAACAAGGAGCTTCTTAACGGAAGATGTACGAAGCTGCACATTAAATGCTTCTATCCCTTTAGATATTTATGGTGCATGATTGACCGCGGTATCCAGGAGAATAATATTTAATACTCCCGAATTAGTAAGTTGACGGGAATATTGGAACTAATCGGTTAAGTGTACGGGACATGTATTTAAAAAAGTTGTCTTCTATACTCCAACAGAAAGACCACTCTCAGTATAAAAGATAGTGAGAGTTCAGGATATGGATTTTGATGAAGTTTACATGGATGGTAAGGTTTTTATGATTAGGAAAGATTCTAAGAAGAACAAAAATAACATGATAAAGAGGATCCCAGGATTAAGTTGGAAGAGACTACTGAGCTGGAAGAGACTGATAGTGAGAGTTCAGGATATGGATCGTTAGAAACTGACACTGGATCAGGGGAGGAGGATCTCGGCCTGACAGTTACTACGGATTTTGATGAAGTTTACATGGATGGTAAGGTTTTTATGATTAGGAAAGATTCTAAGGAGAACAAAAATAACATGATAAAGAGGATCCCACGATTAAATTGGGAGGAAACATTTGCTAAAAAGAATATTGCTCTTCCTAATCTTTTTAAAGGTAGCTCAAAAGGGAAGAAAAAGAAATAAGGGCGGACCGAAAAGAAATAGGTTCGGCAGCAGACATGTGCTGCGGGTTTGTTTCTTTTGATGTTGTGAATTGGATATGTTAATGCTCTTGCGACAATGCTCCAGAGGTAAAGGTTTTTGTTACTGTTTTTACGGCTGGATTTTTGCAGGCTATTCCATACGAGCTGCGGCTTTGATGCAGCGACTTGGATATTTTTTTGATGCTTTTACCAATGTGCGGCTAGGATTTTGCTTCTGTTATTGCGGCTGGACCAAGGGTTATTATTTTGTGGCTTTTTAGCTTGATGGAGATTTTTATCTAGGTTAGATTAGTCTAACTTAGATAGTTTTTTGATCCGAACTTGATACATTGTAATATGTTATTTTTGGGTGTTTTATATATATACTTACATTTCATCCAAAAAAAAAACTTAGAAGAACTGTACGACTACGAATTTTGAAATCCAAGCGTACAAATTCTTGAGAGCTAAACCCTATATTCAACACAAGAATTCAAACCAGAGATTGAAAGATTTACTTTTCACATCATTCATCCATCTCTCATTACAAGTTCGTCATAGTTCTTCAACTACTCCGAAAGCTACAACAATACATCTTGTACGAAGCACGTTGGAGCAATTTTTTTTTTGAACTCCTCAAAAGTTTTCTTCTTGCAAAAGAAGGGCGCCAAAGAAACTGGAGTGAAGTAAGGATACTTCAAGCAAGCTCGGTGAAAGGTCAGTCATCAAGAAGTAAGGATTGCATCCCGGGTGACAAGGAAGTTATACTTGAAGAAGACGCATAGAGTTTCTTAAGCGCTAGGGATCTAAGTTTTGTAAACGTTTTACAAGCATTTAAGTGGAACAGTGGACTAGAGGAAGAAGTAGTTCCTTGAATCACTATAAAAATCTCTTCTGTTATTTACTTACTGCTTTTACTTCTTACACTTAGGATTCTAATTGTTCTACTGTAATAAAGAGCTTGGACTTTGTGTTCACCAAATCTTGCTCTAAGAGAAACACAACGGCATTCTGTCGTAGTGTATTCTGTAGGCTACCCGACTAGAACTGCCAATTCCGCTGTAGGACTGTTCCGACTAGAATAGTGTCAGTTCTGTGAGATAGACATGTTCTATCTCACAAAGAAACGAGAAACCAAGAACGGATTATTCACCCCGCTCTAGATTGTTTATTTGATATTAACCAGGACCAACAGTTAGAAAAAAGATCTTTGATAACAAGAGAATGATTAAGAAGGGAAATACATAAAAAAGGGAAATGAAATAAAAATAAAGGAAGAAAAATGAAATGATTAAAAATCTATTTGGGAAGGAAAATTTACAGCAACAAAAACCACTCCTAATAGAGTGACAAATAAAATACAAATGTGGAAAAGAAATAAGAACAAAAGGATGGAAAAGAGAATAAAAAAGTGTGTATTGATAAATATAAAGAAAGAAAAGTTTTTGGAAGAAAACTGAAAAATGAAACATGAGAATGTTTTTTGCAGATTTGTGAAAGATGAAATCATATATGTAAGATTTTCAACAAAAAGAAAAAAAAACCCTGAAGTAGTAGGTCATCAATCGGACAAGGTCAAACAAAAGAAGATGGAGTGCAAACGTGAGATTACTCTAGGATTACGTAAATGTGAGATTACTTGAAGAACACCGATCAAAGATGGGATTATTTTTGTAAATTTTTCCTAGATTACTCTTTAATAAATAACTAAATAGTTAGAAATTAGCTTGTACAAATTAAGTAGTTTAAAATACTTTAGTAATTTGTAAATCGTGTATTCTTATAACTATAATTTGTAATATTAATTATAACTGTAATTTGTAATATTAAAATATTATAACTAGTGATAACTAAAAATTACTAACTAATACTAATTTTTTGTTATTTTTATTGTTAGTACAATATACAAGTACTACTATTCTTATTTATTTATTTTAATTAGAAAACCGTTCAGAACCGGAATCACCGGTTCCGGTTCCACATTTCTGTAAAATCGAATTGGACTAGTAAACCTTCGGTTCCAAACCGGTGGTATTATGCGGTTCCGGTTCAAAAACCGACGATTCCAGTTCTGGTTGCCCCGCAAACCACAAACGGCTCTAGACGTAGCTCATTAACATGAGGCACTGTAGCACCACATATTTCCTTTTTGGAAAATACGAAAACATGACTTTTTTAATTTAAAAATAACATAAGACACATGTCTTATTTTTTGGATTTTGGAGAATAAAGAGGCACACATTTTCTAGTTTTCCTTCCTCCGATTATTATTATTATTATTATTATTATTATTATTATTATTATTATTATTATTATTATTATTGTTATTATTACTATTATTATTATTATTACTATTATTATTATTATTATTATGTAGTCTAGTTTTTGAAAAAGAGATGCAGATATGTGACATAAACGATTTGGTCGAACCAAACGTGCCCTAAACTAAATGTGTTATCCACGCCGAGAGCGTTCGAACCGCATATGCCATTGTCTCCCACACTGAAGAAAGACTTTGGACCATCTTCACCCTATCGACTTGTTGTTCTCAAATCACACACCACCGGCCGGATATGACTTCGATTTCCGCCGCCGCGGCTACCCTCACTGCCAAACTCCTCTGCCCTTACGCCACTTCTTCTTCATCCTCCATTCCCTCAAAACCCTCCAAGCTTACCTTGTCCTCTTCGTTTGCACCGACTCTCTCAACCACATACTTTCTGCACTATCATTCCGCCGCCGTCCGTCACCCTCGATTGAAGGTTCACGCGGCCCGTGGGAAGTTCGAGAGGAAGAAGCCTCACGTCAACATCGGTACAATCGGTCACGTCGACCACGGGAAGACTACCCTCACTGCTGCGCTAACCATGGCTCTGGCCTCCGTAGGCGGGTCTTCGCCCAAGAAATACGACGAAATCGACGCCGCACCGGAGGAGAGAGCGCGAGGGATAACTATCAATACGGCGACAGTGGAGTACGAGACGGAGAGCCGGCATTACGCCCACGTGGACTGCCCGGGACACGCTGATTACGTCAAGAACATGATTACGGGTGCGGCGCAGATGGACGGCGCCATTCTGGTGGTTTCCGGAGCGGACGGACCTATGCCCCAGACTAAGGAGCATATATTGTTGGCCAAGCAAGTGGGGGTCCCCAACATGGTGGTTTTCTTGAACAAACAGGACCAAGTTGATGACGAGGAGCTGCTTCAGCTGGTGGAATTGGAGGTAAGAGAGCTGTTATCTTCTTATGATTTCCCGGGTGATGATATCCCTATAGTGTCTGGCTCGGCCCTTTTAGCCCTAGAGGCATTGATGGCTAACCCTAGCATGAAAAGAGGGGATAATGAATGGGTGGATAAGATATATGATCTTATGGACTCTGTAGATGAGTACATCCCGATCCCTCAAAGACAGGTTGAGTTACCATTCTTGATGGCGGTGGAAGACGTGTTCTCCATTACAGGTAGAGGTACAGTGGCAACAGGCAGGATAGAGAGGGGGACGGTGAAGGTGGGTGACACTGTTGATCTAGTGGGCCTTAGGGCTACGAGGAACACCACAGTGACCGGGGTCGAGATGTTCCAGAAGATCCTAGACGATGCAATGGCAGGGGATAATGTGGGGCTGTTGCTGAGAGGGATACAGAAAGCGGATATCCAGAGGGGCATGGTTTTGGCAAAGCCAGGAACGATCACCCCGCACACAAAGTTTGAATGCATTGTATATGTGTTGAAGAAGGAGGAAGGTGGGAGACATTCTCCTTTTTTTGCGGGTTACAGGCCGCAGTTCTACATGAGAACAACTGATGTGACGGGAAAGGTGATCGGGATAAAGAACGATAAGGACGAGGAGGAGTCTAAGATGGTGATGCCGGGGGATCGTGTGAATATGGTTGTTGAGCTCATCATGCCAGTTGCTTGTGAACAAGGGATGAGATTTGCCATTAGGGAAGGTGGGAAGACTGTCGGGGCCGGCGTCATCCAGAAAATTCTGGAGTGATTATAATTTATAAGTATTACTTCATCTAATCACTGTGCGCTGCAGCAGGCTGCTGCAGCAGCAGCAGCAGCATTGTATCTCCATCCATGCTCTACATTTTTACTTTTTCTCAAAAAATGAAGACTTTTGTGTGTGTCAATTTTTTTGTTTGTGTTTTATGATGCACTTTTAGTTGAGCTTGAGAATTGGCAGTGTTGTTAGTACTACTTAAAAGGATCATGCATCAGCTCTGCTTTCTATGTAGCTTTGGATGGATGCAGGAGTGTTTTAGAAATGAAAAATGTTGAGAGGAAAATAGTTCACCAAGCAGTGAATGAATGAGAGTGAATGTATATCCATCCCTGCGCGTGTTGTTGCTTGAATGCCAACATGAACGCACTAGCGACACAGTGTCTTGTATCCCTGTAAAGTGTATGTATGATAATGATATGGTGTTACTACTACACTGCACCTATTTGCAGCCGCTTGTAATTGACCAACAGACTAAATAATGTAGCAAAAAACAAGGGGAGTGGAGGTAGAAAAGAGAGAACATGGCGATGAGCCTCCTTTCAAGAGGGAATAACGACCCTTTTAGCCATGAATGAGTTCTTTTTTGTTCCAGTGCTAAATGAAGATTATTCTTTGATGGTGGATTATTTAAGGGTTGGTGACTCCAATAATGTATAATCATATTGTTACGTGAGCAAATGTCTGGTGACATTGTGCGCCAGGGAAGAATTCCATTGACATAACAGAAGAGAAGAGGAAGGAAATAGAACACAAAGTAAGGGAACTTGGGAAAGACAAAAAGGTAAAGGTTGTTTCTTCGTTTTCATCAAGTGTTAGATACTTGATTTTCACTCTGAATCAAATGTTTAGACTTTTGCTTTATAATTCATCCACAAGTGAGGCTGAGTAATTCATTCGCTGCATTAAACAAAAGAAGTTTTCAAAGACAAACATTTTACGATCAAAAAAAGATATAAACATTTTCGAGTGCACTTAATGAACCTCATATTAGCTAGGGATGGATTCGGGCCGGGTCGGGCCCGGTTGGGCCACCGGTTCAAGAATAGTGGGCCCGGGACCGGCCTGAGGGTTGGACGGGTCCGGTTCGGGCCGGGCCACCCGCCCGGGTCACGGGTTGGGCCACCTGCCGGGCCGGGCCGGTTAAATATTTTTTTTTTTAATTTATATTTTATACTTTATAATTTTATACAAGTATTAAAAAACAAACTTCAAGTGCATTTATTTCAAATGAAATAGGAACTACATTTGAAAATTAAATAGGAACTATAACTGTTTTTAATCGGAATCTCCGGCATAGGTAGAGCCACCTTCTGTTGTAGATTCATCCATAAAGTGTTGGGATGGAGTGATATCTAGGACGATCCATCTAAAAAATGTAGCGATTAATAAAAAATTGTAAAAAACTAATTAACTATTTATCTAACTATTAATTCGAGTTATAGCAAATTAAGTAGTGAATTAACTAGTTTTGTGTACAACATATTTTTTAAACTAGAGTCAAATGTAGCAATTAATAAAAAATTGTAAAAAACTAATTAACTATTTATCTAACTATTAAACAAGAGTCAAATGTAGCAAATTAACTAGTAATTAAACAAGTGTAAATAATAGAATAATTTCGTACCTCTTTCGGACTTTCGGTCTTTCGGATGGGAGTAATAGAATGACTTCAAATTAATTAGATATAATTCCAACTATATTAATAGATATAATAAATATATAAGTAATATATAATTAGATAACAAATATAAGTAATATAATACCATTTATATCTATTTATAGTTTATATAAGTAGATAATTAATATAAACTATAAATAATAAATATAATATATTGGAGAATGGAGAATAAGAGAATTAGAGAGTAGAGAGTTAAGAATAGGATTTAGGAAGAACGGGAGAAGAGATATGAAAAAATGTTTAAGATTAGGAGTATTTATAGGTTTTTTTACCCCCCCCACCCCCCACCAGCCAACCCCCCCGGACCCCCCCTTTACCCCACCCAACGGCTATATAGCCGTTTGGGTTGTCCTCAGCCCCACCCCCAACGGCTAGTAGGAGCCCAAACCAAAAAAAAAATTAAAAAATAGACCCGGGCCCGAGCCCGCCCCTTCCCATCGGTTCGGGTCCATACCCGGTCCCGGACCGCCCGACCGGGCCGGTCCCGGGCCCACACAGTACCGGGCCGGGCCGGGTCACGGGCCGGGTGGCCCGAACCGAATCCATCCCTAATATTAGCTAGGGTGCACTTCTTTTGAGGGATTTTGGGTTTTATGCTACTTCACTATTTTGAGTTTTTGACGCTATCTTTGTTTCTTCTACTGCACACCCTATGTGCCTCAGCTAGTAGGCGTACCACGTGTTGAACATTGTTTTTTGAACGAAAGTGCCTTCAATTATGATAACGTAACCTAAGAATGTTACAAACTTACAACAAACCTTGTGAATGTCGTGCGTCCTAGAATCAGGCTTGGAATCAATCACCTCCGTAGAAGCAATTTGATTCGTTGATCCCGCTATGGGCTTAACTGAGTCAATGACAGACAAACCAGACTCCTCATCACCCGTTCTAAGTTCTAATTTTTTTTAGGGGTGGGCGCGGTTCGATCCGGTCCAATATTTGGCCGAACCCGTACCCATACCGTGATTATTCAAACGGTTCGGTTCGATTCGGTCTTAGACCTAAACTCATTCAGTACGGTTCCATTTTCAAACGGGACGGTAGCATGCCATACCATTATACCAATACCAAACAGTGCACACTTTTCAAGTGTTTGAGGGGAAATTAAAGTTTAGCCATCTTCCAAAAATCCACACAATTTATCAATTTTCATACTCCCTCTGTTCCAAATTGATATGCAAAGTCAATATTTTTTGGTCAACCAATGTTAAAGTTAAATCCTCTTTATTCATAATTAATTCAATATTTAACAATTAAAATTTACATATTCAAAAATTACATTAAAATCTCTTCAAAGTTGAAAAGTCCAGATTAAATATAATTAACGTTTGACATCCTAATTAAGTGAATAAAATGAAATTGTTCAACCAAGAAAAGTTAATTTTGCCAATCAATTTGTAACTGAGGTAGTATTACATATCTAATAAATTTCAAATAAACTATAGTAGTACTAATTTAAATAATTAAATCATACATAGACTTCCTATGGACTAGAAAAGGCGCTGAAAGTGTAAAGACACTAGTCAAAGTAACGGTATAAATGTAAATTTAATTAATTAAATCATACTTCGGTCCGGTACCGGTTCTCATTTTATGAGAATCGGTTATGGCATTGTTTAGAACTGGTACGGTCCGGTTCGGGAAAAATATTTGAGTTCCACTTCAAACCCCGTTTTTCGGTATGGTACCATACAGTTTCGGTTCGGTACCATGTTGGTTCGGTATTTTTTCCCACCACTAGTTTTTTTGCTGAAAAAACACAGCATAACCAAAACGGAGTAGATATCCAAACAAAAACGAAATATGAAAAAAACTAAATAAACAAAATAAAAATGTCTTTCAAATCATCATGGTTGTCTGAATTCTTAGGAGCTCTGGCGTGTCTAGGAACCAAAGCCCGTCCCTTCCCCGTTTTTTGGCCCATCTAGGGCCATTTCCTCCACCACATCATCGCCCTGCTCCTGTTCCTCCCATGTGCATCTCCTCTTCTGATCTCCTGGACCTCCACCGAGCTGAACTGCCCCTAACAATCATCCATCCTGAACAGTAGTAGCCACCATCCATCCCTAACAATCACCCCCCCCCCCCCCCCCCTTGTCGTTTGGGCCTGTTCTATCTTAGATATGTTTGTCTTGTTGCACATGTTTGTTGAAGACTTCCCTCTGTAATCGGCCACTTACTTCCCAGAGATGGGCGAGCCTTCCTTCTTCTCGGCCGCAGCCACCGGCCAAACCCTGACCTCCTTTTTCGTACATTAATGGGCAAAATTTCTCTGCATGTCTTATGATCCCGTAGACAAAACAAAAGTTTGGAAGCTCCTCATATTTAAAATCAACCAATAATTCCCCTTTGCTCTTCCTGATAGTAGTGCCAACTTTCAGGGGTTTCCCCACATCCAAGCAAACCTTAACCCTAATGTAAGCCTTCCATTTTTCATCAAGCTGGTTGCCATCGCAACTAACAAATTTTCCTAGGTAATTCACAATTCTCCTAGCAGTTCCAAGATTACCAAAAGTATAACGCACATTGTGCACTTGCACTCAGAAATCAACCGAATCGAAAGGGACCTTAAGCGGAATATCCCCCGACTTAATGGCTCTTAACACTAATAAATTCTGATCAAATAGCCATGGACCATTGTCCAGAACACAATTCATGTCAACAGAATGGAAAGATTTAATAAGGTACATCTTTTCACCAATTTCTTTAATCGAGACCCCTTTTCCCGGGCGCCACAGAGCTGCCATGAGATCCTTAAATATTTGCAACCCGACCACCTTATTTGTGAGAAGTATACCAACCATCGGAAACTCTTCCACATGGTTTTCTTCTATCTCGGCCACCTCTTCTTCACCATCATTGATCACCAGTTCGTCCGGTGCTTCACCGATGTCCATGCCAACATACTTCTCGATCAGTTTATCCACCTGACCTTCTTCCTCTCTAGATGCCTCTCTTCTTTCCTCCCCCAGCTCCCGTAAAGTTTTCTCCATCGGCCACCACAGCGAGATAACGATGCGGTCTATCGCCTACGAGTGATTTCCTTTCTCTGCTAATACGGCCGTCGCACCAAAGACAGCAAAACTCGAAACCCTGTTCAAGGGAGATGCCCACTACGTGCTGAGGATTGTTAAAACTGGGGGTAGTTGTTTTTTAAATTTTAGGAAAAGTACATGAGTAGGAGGGCTAGACCAAATCCTACTAGTAGTAGGCTTAGTCTAGCCCATTTGTATTATTTTGACAACAAGAGTTTAGATTAAAAAATTGAGCTACCTCTCTCTCTTCTTTTTCCGACGCAGCGTTTCATGCAGACGGAATCCGCCGCCTCATCCTCCATGACGACGAAAGGATTCTCCACGGTACGGACCACCTTCATCCTTGTTTCTTCTCCCGCTGCTACATCTGAACCCTCCTCCACAGCGATGATGTCCACAATCATGACCGGCGCCGCTTCCTTCGTCGTTACACAGTGGTGCTGTCTTCTCCAATTCCGGCCTCCTCGTTCTCCATGTGGACGTTGCCGAACAGCTACAACCTGTTCAATAGCATCCCTCCTCAGTTTCCATGGCAGACCGCTTTGGTCCAACAACCTCCGGTGCAGGAACAATCTGCAAGCCCCAATTCTCTTCTGTGGCAGATTGCTCTAGTCCAGCCGCCTCCAGTGCCGATGCAACCAACCAACCTGACATCCATGTTCTTCGATACTACATTTACAGGCTCACTCATCATTGCTCGACTTGTTGATGGCACAATTTTTGGTTCGCATATGGCTGTTAT